GACTACTAGCAATATTTGTGCTACTTGGCGTACTTCTATGGGTATTACTCTATTCCCCCATCCTGCAGTTAGCCCTGATATGAATCCTATTGAGAAGTGCTGGAGGAGAATAAAACAAGCTCTCCATAGGCGCCTAAGGCAGCCAACAACTGAGGTTCAAATGGTTGTAGCAGTATTAGAAGAATGGGACAAAATTCCTCAGGAATGGATCAATGGGCTTATTGAGCAGCAGGACTTCTGGGTACACGACTTAATTAAGCGATGTGGCTGGTCTACAGCTAATTAATTAATAAAATTCATGATTCTGATGCCCTGAACGCACGGACTTTTGTCCCCATGTTCGTTAAGGTTGCAAACCTTCTGAAAGACTATGCCACAGTCGCCGCTGAAGATCCTGAGAAGCCTGCATATCAAGACGCGTTGGAGGCATGGAATGAGAGAGAACCAAAGCTCTCATACTACCTGACAAGCGATGCAAGTATTCTTACGTACATTCCAGGTCTATCTTAATTCAGTCTCTAATTTATTGTGTTCTTGCAGTCCGACTCGGAATCTGATCTCAGTGACATTATCTATAGCCGACAAGAACCAGAGATCAGGAAGAAGAAGAAGAGAGTGGCGTTCCAGATTCCGGACTCTCAGGAGAGCAGCAGCGGCTTCAGTGACAGTCAGAGCGACAGCAAGAGCAATAGCCAAGATCCCAGTGAACCAGACCGTCGACAAGCAAATGAACAGTAAATTGCGGACGACGCGAAGTTCGCAGCAAGATTGCAACGGCAAGAACGTGGAGACGTCGTGGGACTTCGGAATCGATCAGCCAATATGCAACCTGTGACCAGTATCGCGGATATTGTTGCTCAAGATGAACAGATGTCAAGAGCTCGAAAGCTCAAGGAGGTGAGGGTTGAGAGAAAAGAAGGTGAAGCGGGTGGTTATACAGAGCGGAGGAAGTCAAGCAGCAGCGTAAGTTCACGGTGTATCTATGTTCGGGTCGAGTTCTTCCACTGACAAGCTACAGAATACGAGCAATAGTTCGAAGAACGCGCCAATTCGAAGGAGCGGCGAGAAGGCCATCGATGACGGAAGCTTCGACAAAACAAACGCTGTTCTTGGAATAGTCGACCACTCCAAACTCACAATTACCCTCTATATGCAGACACAAGACCCCGATCGCCCAGAAGAGTATATTCGTGGGGAGAAACGCACATACACCTATCTCCACCAGAATCCTGACTTCCACGACAAGAAAGACATCATGACCATCAATAAGTGGCGCCAACAGGTCTTTTCAAGGTGCCTTGGTAGGATTGGGAAGTCCAGAGTTCCCTGGCTCAAGAGCGAGAAACAACTCGTTCTAGACCTGGTGAGACAGCAATTTCAACGGCGATCAATGGTGAAGTGGAATAAACTTGCCAATACGTATAATGAGATACAAGACGGGGTAATGCAAGGGGTCGGGGACGAGTATGTCAGACGGGGTGCACGTAAAATAGAGCACACCACCAAAGAACGCTTGGCTCCATGACGGAGCGCTGCTGCAATCCATCTATCAGCCAGACGCTGGACCGAATTTGTGGAGTTGGAAACGGCTGCAGCCAAAGCCAAAACATCCTCCGATGCTGACGATGACGATTCGAGCGATGAAGAAGAAAAACCGGATCCAAATGATGGCCCTGTGAGTTCGAGACCAACTACTCAGAGTCAGCGCGACAGAAGCAGCAACTCTGCTATAAGTCGAAAGCGGAACTCCCGAGTCTTCGATAGTAATGACATGGATGATGCTTTCGATGAGTCAGTTTGGGATGTCCCGAAATCTCCTGCAGATAAAGCACTTGTTCCCACCCGATTATCGAAGAAACGTAAGACAGCAAGCAATTCCCACACGTCTCCTTCATCTTCGGTTTCGATACCAAAACTCTCTCAACCTTCTAGCATAGTGCCTCGCCGCTCTGCTCCTAAGCTAGTATTGCCAGCTTCTTCCAATATGCGGGCTGCACGACCCGGCTCGTTCCCTGTTTCACACAAAGCTGATGACGTTGAAGCTAATGTATACTACGACAGTGACGGTGTCAAACTTGAAGGAGAGACCGTTGTTGTGGAAGTTATCGATGAGGCTGAGCTTGCTCGAAGGTCTATCGCTCGTCGTGCCTCTCATTTATCAAGGAGATGAGCGACAAGACTGTTATGATTGCCTGCAGCGTTAGGTTGTTTCTTTTTTTTCTTTCTAAATTTTTTGTGTAATTGCTTTGTTATTTGTAGGGACTTGGGACGGTATAGTCGTTTTCTTTTGAAAGCTGCAGGCAAGAAGATAAGGATTTGGACGAGTCTTTTGATACTTGCACTAAGAGCGTGACCAGGAAGGTGCAAGTTGTTAGAGTTCTTAGTCTGCACCAACTTTGATATGCAAGTGAAGATTTGATTATGAACTTGCTTTCGATTTCTCGGTGCAACATTTCTCAATGATTTCGCTGGAATTGGGTGAACGATTCTTCTGTGAATCGCCTTGTATCCAGTCCCTCGCTTGTTCTTGATATAAAACCTCGTTCAACAATTCTTGACCACCTTAGCTCGCGATTTTCGTTCTCAAAATTTACAGTGTTTCAAAGATAGAGGTTTTTAAGCCGTGAATTATCATACAGAAAATAAAGCTACTAGATTCTACAGCTACAGCGAAACGAGTCCTTCACTATGTCAACGAGGTTTCGGCGAGGCTTTTGAATCCTTCTTCATAAGCTTTGTGATGCTTGAACTTCCTTCACAATATTGTTTAATAGTCGAAGTGGAACATTTCCCGCCTAATATAGTTGTGAGGTTCTCCAAGAAAGGGGTTCGCTTGGCTCGCTTAGGTCACGTGCAATTCCACTTTTACCATTCCAGGTTTATGTTACCATATGGTGCTTCAGATGGATAAATAATGTAACGCTGGTAGCTTATAGATCTTGCAGGACCATGTATATGCCAACAGTTGAGAGAATGAAGGAAGATCTTTCCCAGTTTTGATTAGATAGCCAGACTCTATCCGCGGTTGACTGCAACATGAACGAGCCCTACGCAAAAGGCCAGAGCCAGCATTGGAGAGCCTCAACCAAATTGCCCAAATTCGAAAATCAATACCTCTCCAAAGGGGTGACTTTTAAAAGAAAGTGGGGATCTCCTCACGACGGTTCCTGCTCGCCATTCGCACCTTCCTAGTATATCAGACCATATTGTCAACTTCATGTGTGCACTTTCTTCGTTCGTCATCGACAACTTCACTTCCATAACATAACATTCTTTGAAGTCAGTATCAATATGACACCTGCAACAGAAGGTCTTTTGGCAGGCTTTGATCCCAAGAATACCAAATCGATGCGTCGCTTCGCACTTTCCCTCTATCACTGGAAGAAAGGCGCTCGATTCACCAATAGTGCCCATCTCCATGGCCTGACGAACCAACAAATCACCACACTTGAGGCAGCCAGACTACGAGTATTGATTGATCCAGAGTGGGATATACTTATTGAGCGCTTTCTAGGCACTCCGCGGAATATCGCACCATACAGACCCTTGATGCAAGCAGCAAAAGCTTTGGCAGATCATGCTGCTGGTGTTCAAGCACCAAATATTCTCCCCGTCTCAGAGCTTCTCACAACTCCTCAATCTCGACCTTCGATTGGTGTTGGCCCAACCGTTTCGGAGCAGACAACGATCACCAATCGAGGCCGAGAGCCAATTGATAAACCACTAGAACATTCCAACACTACTCGGTCTGTATCTCCAATTTCTGTCGACGTAGGAAACTTCGGAGAAGCATTACAAAAAATAGCACCTTTTCCATCTTCCTCGCGTGGGATATCTCCAGGCGCTGATATGTCCTGGATGTCAGATCTGGAAGACGAGGCTTTGAGACAGGCCGAACTAGATGATATGATGAAAAGCTTGAATCACACACCAGCCTCCGAAGTTCTTCGCAACACTCCTGGACCTGCTCTTTCACCTAAGAATAAACTTGCAGTTGGTCCCAGTGGACAGTCTATAGTTGATGCCGCTTCTCAAAATGCTGATCGATTCGAGAACCGGACTTCACAAGTAAAGGAAGATCACCTCCTTGCTGAGCCATTTCAAGATGAAGAGAATAAAGAATACGCAGAGGGTTATCGCTCAATCATTGACGATTGGCAGAAAAGACTCTCGCGCAAACAAAGTCATCAGAGCATTGTTCCAATGGCACAGCACCATGCCACCGAGGACTCTGAATATGATAGTCAAAGTCAGGACTTCGACTCGGAAAGTGTTGCGTCTGAGGATTATGAAATCAGTGTGACGGCTCTGCTTGCAAGCGAACTTGAAGAGGAAGAACGCATTAACAATGAAGAAAGGGAGGCTCGTGAGATTGAGGCTGCGATACAAGAGTCTCTAAAAGTCAACAATATAGTACCCAGCACCTCTGGATCTTTCGTAAGCCTCGTAACCTGATATCAACTATTTTCATTCTAACCTTCTATAGAGTCCCAGTTCAAGGCCGGTTCTTGGTAAAAGATCTTCTGAGACGTCCGATGCGATATTTCCTTCACCAAAGCGCGCAAACGTCGAAAGTCCGGAATTGGTCATCAAGCATCACGACAATGGTTTATTCAGCGAGGAGGAGAGCTTTCCACGAGGCTATGAGGTAGTATATCCAGGAAAATTTGGCAATACCAAGAACACCCTCTTGAACAGTGAACCTAGTATTCGCTCAGGCGCTCCAGATACTATCGAAGGCTTCAGTGGGTTGAGTGGTGGTGAGAAGGTACAGGTTCCAACTGATGTGAGAGCTTCTGGGACGCAGAGCAACGCCAATGAGTCAGATGGAAAGGAAGTCCATGCCCCCAAAAATAACTGCTGTCTACTTCTATAAGCCTTGTAATCGAGTTCCAACCTTGAGGCTTCGAATTACTCGTTATTCTTCTCGATTCAATACTTTGGGGCTCAAAATGTCACCAAATCCAGCTCGCACCTTTTGATTTTTGCAGTCAATACGCCCGGCAGACACAAATTTCTCTTCTCGAGTATCCTCAGTTGGGCACATTGAAGAAACGTTCACGTATAGTTCTGTCTCACGTCATGTGAGAGATTCAGGAAGGGACGAGCTTTCCATTCTCCACGATCAAAAAGATCTTGATCCAGGCTATGCCACGAGTCCATTGTCCTCAAGGTACGCAGACTTTACTCTTCTGTCTTTTCCTTCATCTCTTCATTCTCTGCCTTCTCTCTCATCTTGCCCTCCTTCTCGCCCTTACTTCCATTCTCCGAACCAACGGCCAAGTCCCCAGACTGGGCGGACAAGGAAGACAAGCCCTTCGGACCATCGGCCAACGGGGCATGCGTCCTCTCATACTCCGCCGCCATAGCCTTTGCCTCCGGGCCGCTTCTCTTGAATTGTCGGACTGGGACCAAAGAACTGGTTCCATCCTCCCATTCGACCAGGTAACCGACAGTGTCCAGCGTGTTGTCGGGATCCTTTGGATCGACATCGGTGATTCGGTCTCGCTTCAAGATTCTGACATAGTCCCTCCTCTTCTTGAAGTAACTATTGACAGATTAGTAGGTGTTATACAGGGACATCAAGGAGCCAAGACAACACTCCCGAAAAGGAGTCCCAAAAATTCGACTCCCAAATTGTATGGAAGGGTAAGGGTGATTTTGACGTACTGGTAGGTGGATTGCATTGTTTGTTCTCCTTATTAGACTTTGGGAGTTGATCAATGATGATACAAGGCAAAGAGTAGCTTAATAGTGATGGACTTGCTTTGGAAGCGTTCTTATTGTTGTCAATGGTGTTATTGCGTTGCTGAAACAAGGATCTGTCTGCCAGATGATGATGTTGAAGGACGAAGAAAAAAAGCCTGTGCGATCTGAAGTCATTGCTAAGGATCTAAAGCGGCCGCATAGCCTTTTGAATAAGGCGGCTAGTCTGATTTCGGAACACCTCTATACGATCCAGCTTCCCCGCATCAGATCTTCAAGGTGAATCTATGAATCGCACACTCGAACTTTCCGCTCTTCCTCTTTGTTTGCTCAGTCACCTGCTTCCAGTATTCTTGGTGAGAGCTGTGGCGAAGAATATTCTGTCAAAAGTCGCGTCCAATACACCTTCTCTTCAACAATAGCAATATCTCAAATGTGTCATCGATCAATCTCCCTACCAGCCCTCGCCATGCAATACTATACGGGGCCAATTAGCCCAAGATAGCCAGGACGACGGCCTCGAACACACTCGAATGTTTAGAGACGAACGGATCGAAGGAGAGGAGACCTCGTTTGCATCTTTGCAACTCGGCGGCGGTGGATTACAGTAGCACAAAGATACCGTAGATGGGCAGAAGGTGATAGTGATGGATATTAGCCGTACGGAGGTATATCGAGCATAATCGGCAAAGATTCCCAGAGGCTTTGCAACCTTGTCATACTTGTTGTGAAATTAGAGCTCCTCTTGCTTGCCAACTCTTGATATTTGGCTCCACGTCTCGCAATTGTCCGACACAATCATATTTGCATCTCTCTGCGCATTTATGTAAAGCCCTTGTAGATGCCAACCTGATATCGTTCGGATCTGGGAAGTTCTGCTCCTAGCATCTACGTTCTTCTCATGGTAATTGCAAGCTATAGTCTTGGTGGAATCGAATATGGAGTTGGTTTAAGTAAGACCCAGATGGGCCGAATCGATCAAAGGATGCTCCCTCCGTATTTCTTCAGCCTCCTCCACCAATGTCAAAGGTACTTCCATCAGGCTTTGAGTCTCAAGAAGAAGCCTCAAGCCATCACGAGGGTGAGAGTGTGCCATCAGTGTATAATATATGTAGATGCCCAATAACAAAGTCTGACCCAACCAAAACCCGTATTGCAACAACTTGATCCTTCCAAAAGCACAAAAACAACAGAAGTAAAAGTTTCTGAGTTCCCAAGCTCCTATTTCGCCCAATCTGGACTAACTTTGTAGCACACTAGCAATAGAGGAAGAAGCGGCATGGGTAGCGCTTCGCAACTCTTCGTGGTATAAAAACTCGCGTTCAGTCGCGAACCAGCTCACTACCTTCATCCATCAACACAAACAATCTTCGACAAACTTCTTTCCCGCTCACCAGTGTGTCATCAGTTGATATACTGTCGCACTTCTGGTACTCTCTTGGCTGGTAACTAAGAGAATCGGTACGTACTCCATCCTTTCAAGAGCTCTTGGGCAAAGTGGCTCTGGGTTCTTGACCTATCTCGTGCCGCGCAAGTTCAAAAGAACTTGCACACACTCAATCATATTATGCTTCCATCAATGAACTGGCTAACCCACTGATTGGTAGGTATCATCCATCCTGCGCAGACGTCTCCGTACAGTAAAGACAAAGCGCATCCCACACCTAGCAGCACAATCTGCTTTCAAAGACTTGTGCAAGCACACACGAAGACACTTAGCAACAGGTAAGTGACATACTTTCCCGTCTCCAGTGTATCTCATGTTCTTTCCAAGACCTCAATCATTCTCTCTGCCCCTGCGAAGGTCTTCGCGATCTTTGCGATCGCTTTCGCGTATCTTAAAATCCATCCCCACCACCAACTCAAAGGATTTCTTTCTCTCCCAATGCATACACCGCTTGCCATCCATCAACAAGTCACACTGCTGGATCGAACGCGTCGAACGCGTCTAATTTGCGGTTGCAAACCCCACCTCCACCTGCTCACAGAGCGATCAATTCAGGTGTTTCATGACCTGCATCGATCAATCGCTTCCCCTTTTTGGTCCTTCATCCTCCTCCTTGCAGCAATAGATCATTGGGGCTATCACTCCCATTATCTGCCTTGGACTCATCGTTGGGTAAGACATTTACTAACATGCTGTGAGCAGTGCTTGTCTTCCGACCCCTGTCGCAACAACCCTCCGTCCTACACACCCCCAAACCTTCGTCGACAATGCAACCATTCGATGATGCTTCGATTCTCAATGGCCTGAGCTATCGGGACGCCACTTCCCTCAGACGAGTCATGAGAGCAGTCATGAGTCGCTTCGGCGGGCAGTCATCTGAGATAGCAGCTCGAGATCACCAGCTCAATGGTGTTGAACGAGAAGTTGTTGATCAGATCATGGATGAGACCGTTGACAACGAACTCTTCTATAGAGCAGCAATTCGCTTCGGTTCTGCGAATGCTGCCAACTCGGCGACCATTCTGAGATCCGGCCAGGAATTGAGCTCAATCTTCTCACCGAGTGTCCTTGGCCCGCGACACCTGAGAGTAGAGGACGACGTTGAGATTGCGAGAGTTGCCTATCAAGATCTATTGGACAACGGAACTCCATTTGTATATGGACTAGAGGAAGATTTCGCAGAGGGATCTGATGGCGACGAAGAATATGAGTCTGGCGCAGAGAGCGACCCAGTGGTAAATCTATTGCTGCAAAGCTTATCGCAAGTTGTAGATGCTGACTTCATTGATAGCGAGCCAAGAAGAATGGAAAGCGCCCGGCTGGTCCTCATCCTAACAAGCCTGGTAAGAAAAAGCACAAGCCAATCAGAGGCAAGGATGAGCGTGCCATCGATGATGATACCATCGACCGCAAAGTTAGGGCCAAACTCAACGAGCCTGATCCGAGTCTACTCGTGATTACCTTACCAGCGGAGAAGAAGGATCCCAAGAACAAGGATAATTGGCTTCCAAAGAGTCCAATCATTTACGACTACAATAAGATTGATCCGTCCTTCGATTGGACCTCGAAGAAAATGGTATCGCGTCTCAATGCTTGGAGAAACCAGCATTTCAACCGAAACTTCGGCCCCGAAAGAGAAAGCCGTTACCAGTATACTGCCGCAGAACGAGACTTGATCTTCAAGCTTGTACGGGAGTTTCTGGCGACTGTTGAATGGCGCTATAGCAAGATCGATTGGCAAGCTATTGCAGATGAATTCAACAAACAGATGGCCGGCCGTTGGTTCGGGAAGAGTGATGATACTGCAGACTCGCATTACACCTATGATAGCAAGAGAAAGATCACCGTCAGTCGCAAGGTGGAGGTTCCGCATGAGTTCGAGCCACGTAAGCCCACCGGTCTACAGAACCAGTAAGTGCTCTCATTTGAGCCTTTTGAAGTATCTTGTGAATGCTAACGTTTCGTTTCAGGCTCGAGCACTTTGAGCATGCTATGGCCGAGCATATTCTCAAGAAGGCGAGAGATGCCGATCTGCAATACGTCCTTTCGTTATTGCCAAAGATCGACGTTGATGGCGCAAGCAAGCAACCATCTGCCAATGAGGGTTCTGACGACGAGGAAAATGGAGAGAAGGGGAAGGGCAAAGCTAAGGACACTTCAGCTGAAGAGCCATCGCCTTCGATCCCAGCAGTCGAACCTGTTGTTCAGCAACAACCCGATGCCGACCTTGGACTAATGGCCGCAATTGAAGACAGCATTGCGGATGCGCGAGAGGACGAGCGAAAGCGAAAGACTGGTGGCGAATCTTCAAAGCGAGGAGGTGGCCCCTCGAACAAGAAGTGATGAGACTTGGTGCCTATTCTGGTATCTTGCTTGATTACTGTAGTTATTGTTCCGCTTTTTCCTTTCCTTTGTTTGTTGGACTACACACACGCAAATGGGCAACCTTCTCTGGGTCATCGGCGATGTATTTCGATAATGGCTATGCTCAGCACGGCATATTCTGCAACGACAATGCGTCTCGGGGCTAGCAGTCGGATTGTCTTGAGACCAAGACTAAGCCCAACGCCCTTTCTAAACCCTAGGATGGAATATGGCGATCAAGCTCTGGTTTCTCCGGTGTCGGCCGATCCTCGATGAAGTCGCTTCTGCATTCCAGCCAAGCATACTCATGGTCATCGTGGTGGCTTTTCCCGTGCTGGTCAAGGCGATCGGCGGATATGTTGATTATAGCATCGCAACGATTGGTGCGCATTTCTTTTCCAATTGGCTCGCTCAGGCACAATCATCTGAAAGCCGTCGATTGCTCGCGTCATAAATTTTGTTTGCTCCACCGAAGAATCTGCAACAAAATAACATCACTGTGTAAGTCTTTATGTGCCTGTGTGGTCGCATGAATCCTCTGGCTAACGCATTTCGGAGGTCTTGAACTTCCCGCGTCATTGAATGCGAATCAATTCGATCAAGAGCAACGATCTCAACGAATGATAAGACAGCATGTACTCACGTACAACGGCATGAACTATACGTGTGGAGATAACATGGTGATGGAGGTCCATAAAGTGGTGGCGACCAAATTCTTGGTGGTTTGGTGGAAGGTAAGAACCCACAATCTGGCATATCCCGCCGAGAATCAAAAGCTGACCTCTCTAACTAGGACATTTCTTTTCTAATTCTCCTTTTTTGTCATGTAAAGTAGCAAAAGCGTTGGGAAGTTGTCTTCCAAATAAAAAAAAAACCCCTCACTTTGGTGGCGACACGGAATTCTTTTGATGAAGATGTGAGTGATTTGGTCAGGTGTCTGACAGTTGACTTTTCAACTCTGCATAGAATGATGTTCAAGGACAGCTTGGCTCTAGGATCAAAGTGCCACTTGTCTGAGATTCCACTCGGTCAACGCCGTAAAATCTCAACTGTGAATTGACCGAGTGTGATAGATTTTTCCTGTGGTCCTGAGCACGACCTTAAACTGCTTTGTAGGTGGGCGAGGCGGAGAGACGGGACTGGTCTGGTGATTGGCTTTCTCTGCATCCCGACAAGGTACTTTAACACATTTGATTCCACACCTGGGCCACGGCTAACGTTGACCATAGGCATGCATCGTCGTGATTGGCGCTTCTTTCGTTGAGCAGATCTGGTACCAAGTAGCAAACTCTTGAACTCTTTTTGAGAGCTGTTCAAGATGTTCCTCTTCAGGCACTTAGTGGCTGACGAGTCACTTATATCCAGGGTCACTACTTGACAGTTTTCGAATTGCTCAAAGCCAACCGAGTACGGAACTTCTGTCGGTGTCAACATTGTCCGCGCCAAGTTCCCGAGTTCTGACACCGTCCGCGGCCGCTCCACCACCCTTTCCGCTCGCACATCCCGGCCAATGTTCACCACTCCACTCGACATTCACAGTCCCACAACCGGGTCGTGACTTTCCCACTCGGCAGAATCGGTCATCTCACAAGGCTCGCCTGATCCTTGACGGTGGCTACTCCATGACTTCATTTGGACCGTGGACGAAAGGAGCCATCTCTCATCGATCGTCCTGCTCTGGCGCGGGACCCTCATGGGCGCTTCGCCAGAAGCCTTGATCGACAATGAAGCAGCTATCACAGCTACCGACGCGCAAAGGACATCCACTTGTTTGTGTAGAAAGATGGCTTCTCCAATGGCTACAGGAAGTAGTTGCCAGCTTTCTACGAGAACAGGTGGATGTTCTTAATAGGAAGTGGAATTCCTCAGTATGACGGTTGCGACGACACTCAATCTCCTCAATCCAACAGTGCCGATGACCGCCCGTCTTCATCTGGCAGCACCAGCACTGCTCACTCAAGCATGGCAATCAGCGAGAACAGCCGAAGATTCGTCCCCACAATCTCTCCTGCGTGGAGGGGCTATTGAGCAAGTTGGTACCACTTCACATCGATATAATTCAGAGAAGCTGACTGCAATGAAGCTCCCAAATATGTTCCAACCGGCAAAGGACACCAAGGCAAAGTCGCTGACCGGACTCGAAATGCAAGCTACTTCGACAGTCGAACACGATTCCACAAATTGCCCGGCGCGACAGAACTATCAAGGAGTACAAGGCGACTGATGGTGATGCCGAATTTCTCGTGCAAGCTCGACAAAATTGCAAGACTCGAGGACACTGTGAGAGAAAGTCTGGTATCCGAATGAATGATACCGACGGTTTCACACGAGGAAATTGGATTTTCTCGGTCAGCGCTATCCCTACCCTGCTCTCTATCAACAAAGAAGCCAGAGCTGAGATTCTGCCTTTCGTGAATGGAGGAATAACAATGTGTAAGGCAACACATGTAACATTATGGCGTGTGGTGAAGCTAACAGCTTGCAGGATCAAGCGGGAGATTAGATGATTTCTAGTGTATGGTGGTTATTTGGCTGCAGGGATGTGCCACGCAGGATTCTTCCTGATACTGTGTTATGCTTGGGAGTATATTCATCAATTGCTCAAGGACAATCAATGATTCTATGGGAGTTCTTCGAGTTTGAGACAGCTAGGTGTTCGTAATGTATCAAAAGAATATCTTCTGAAGTTGCCATCGTTGTCAACGTGCAGTGCTGTATGTTGGTACCCGTTGAGATTCGAGGCTGTAGTGCAGCAAACGCCAAAGGAAGCTTCAAGTCGAGGCTTGAGAATGTGTGCCTGAATTCCAAGCCTTGCGGCACATTCACATATTCTGACTGATGTCAAACATGCCATGTGGTATGACTGATCACCTTCATCAACCAGACATCATCCAGTGTGTGGTTAATGCAGGAGACAGATGCACAAGATACCTTGGTGAAAAAGGTAGTCAGAAACGTGATTCAGGGCCAAGTCTATGATCACGGGATCTCGCTTCGCCGTATGCCGGACGATGCAGCACATTTCAGCCCTTTGTGCTCGTGTCGAAAGAAGCTTGAAAGATAATGTGTGGAAGATGAGCTGTTGTTTGTAGAGAGGGGTCTTGGTGTCTTTATGTCTATCGCGGCTGCTGAATTTGGGATTGAGAAGGTACCGGTGATTCATGCAAACATCCAGCGGATGGATTTCCTGCGGTGGGAGATTGCTGCTCATCATCAGGGGCGACGACATGATCAGGGATGAAGAAGCAGTCTGATGATGAGTGGCGCAAAAGACTTGAAGAGCTTTGTGAAGAGGTCGAGAGGAGATGAAGAGGAGTGTTTGTGCATTCGTGCTCATTTCCACGTGGTATGAAGCTGACGATGGAGAACTCCAACTGAGTGGGAAGGCCAAGTATCAGTATCGGCTTCGAACTTGAAGTTGTCAACTGTAACGGAGCCTTGGAGAAGGAGTGAAAGGTTTCGCGCTTATGTAAAGGAAGGTTGGAGAATCGATGAGATGTTGGCTGGAGGATCTGAAGATGTAGACTTTAGCGAGCTATTCTTCGAAAAACCTACTCCTACCCACGAAGGGACACGACGTACTGTCAGAAGCTTGCCCATGATATTGGCATCGTGGTAGATAGTTGTGTAGCTCGGGAAGCCGTCGAGTATGTGATGGTGGGGTGACTTCGACTGTATTTGTAAATGCAAGATGATGGATGAGGGTCAGAGCATGATATTCATGGATAGGAGGATGTTATCAAAGCATATTGAGAAGGAAGATAGAATAGGAAAGAATGAAAAGCCGTTGACCACACTAGGTTGATTCACAATAAAGCGGGTCCATGATGTCGTGGGGGAAAAAAAATTGGGAGTGATCGTTTACCTACTGCAAACCTTAGCCTTCCTCATCCTTCCTTCCCAACCAAGCGCTTTTCCAAGATCTTGTCAACCAAGCCTGTCCAATTCTAGCCAAGTTTCCATAAGATCTTCTTCGAAGGTTTCTTTCTATCTTGAGCAACAATTCCTTCTTCTTCTTTTGCAATTCTAGGGAGCCAAGCAAAAAATTTTGTCGACAAAACGCACTTCCAACCCCATCAACCCCTCTCCATCATTCTTACCCGACGATCCCGTTCGAAGACAAGGTCGCAACAGATCTACAAGACCACTCCCATACGTTCTTTTCCTGAGCAGCGAAGCCAAGGAGGATATTTCACTACCGTTGACAAACCAAACTTCCAACTCCATCAACCATCCCTCATCATTCCTTCTCTCACACTCTAGAACGACGCTGCGACAGATATACAAGACGACATCCACACTCTCTTTCTCGATTGAAGGGACAGTCACAAACTCGATCCTTTGGTGTCGCGGTACTCTTCAGATCTCCACCCAAGATCTATAGCACCCACGTCCTTCTCATCCTCGCGACAACGTAACGACGTCTTGGACCCATCCTTTTCACAACAACATAACCGCTGCCTCCGTTACAACAAGCGTTACGTACGGCATCTTTGTGTTTGCGCCCAGACGTCCCGGAAAGAGTCAGGACAGATATTGTAAGTTGCTCCATGAGGAAACAAAACGCACCTCCTACAACACGAACCTTCCACAACACGCAGTTCATCAACCACCAACATTTGTTCCGGCTCTATTTCTCTATACGTCCTAAGCTTCGATGAGTTTGAGGAACAAATCAGAGAACCCTTTAATGTTGCAAAGCTTCGTCTTCGACGGCGCTGACCTGACCATAGCTTAGCCAGATATCCACACACAGCTTGAAAACCCTTTCTCGCTCAGAAAAGCATCCCCATAACCACCGACACGAAAACAGTCACAAATGGCAAGCTCAGGAAGCTAGAAGACGAATGCAGCCTCATCAAACACGACCAGGACATAAGTAAAGCTTTTCTGTAAGTTGATCCACCAAGCAAGACATGGCCACACCACGTGTCTGCTCAAGCCACCCCACCTTCCGGCGTTGCCACATACATATTTCAAGTTGTCTTCCAGTACAGATCCAGATCAAAGCTAAGATTCTTGACCAGGAAGAATCACCAATCAAGTTTTAACGCAAGACGATGTCTCGACAGACAACACGCACTTGGGAAACGCATCTACTCCACTTTGATGCCCACTTTTCCAATCTTTCTCAGCCCAAACCAAATGACACCCAAGATCAAGACGTTAAGTGCAAAGCACAACCAAAAGGTAGCTCGATATCCATCCATGAGAGTCTGAGGTGTGCTGACCTTTCGTCCGTCCTCAGACATGGTGACAGCAGATGCGACGACAGCCGTCAATGCCAGCCCGACACTATTTCCAATGTTGGAGATGGTGTTGAAGACGCCTCCTGCTAGACCATGAGTCCGTGGAGGGAACACAGATGTGATGGCCAGCTGTGCGACCGTGAACAGACAATCAGCACAGATTGGCACGCACGCTGTAGCAAAAAGAGCACATGTCCAGTACGACCAACTAGGATCGATGATGGCCATCAGTAGTGGCGCTATGGCAGTGATGGCAGCAGAGGAGATGACCAGGATGTCTGCTCTCACCCGCTTCACAAGCCATCCTGTCAGGAAGTTTGTCAAAGCACCTGTGATGACCATGGGTAAAAACCTCAGGCTGGTTTGTAGAGGCGACAATGACTGAACTGACTGATAGAAGAGTGTTAGGAAGAACTGCATGGCTTCAAAGACTCCCCACATCACAAAGACTACGATGCATAGGGAAGTGAAGACCCTGTTTCGTAACAATGAAGGAGGGATGATGACACTTCCACCAAGTCGTTCTTGCCTCAAGATGTGGAAGCCGAAAACTGGGAGCAGTACTACAGCAATCGAGAAGAGTGCCAGCGATGCTGGCTCGAGGAAATGTGCTGAGCCGCCTGCGAGGACGGAGAACACATACGAGAACATCCCGAGCGAGGTGCTGAGAAGTGCACAACCAATCCAGTCGATCTCAGTCTTGATGCGGTGGAGTTGGGTAGCAAAAGACTGGTTTTCAGTCTCTTGGTCCTTCGGAATGCCGAAGATCGAGACGACCCAAATGATGAAAGTCAAGATGGCTCCAATATAATACCCAAATCGCCAGCCGATGCTGCCAACGAAGAGGCCACCCATCACCAGTCCCAGACTGAAACCAAGAGGTTGGCCTGCGCCTAGACAAGCGAATGCAAGATTGCGATATGTACCCGACGGGATGTTGTTGGTGATGAGAGAGACAGATGATGGCAGACAGAACGAAACTGCCACTCCTTGGGCGGCACGGAAAAGAATGAGCTCGATGCCAGTTCTGCAAACGCCACAAGCTATAGTGGTCACCACCACGAAGAACTCCCCGATCAGATACATCTTCCTGCCTCCAACAACATCGGAGATAGAGCCAGAAAGGAGGAGAGTGCACCCGCAGGCGAGAGCGTTGACGGATGCTGGCCACAGCAACAAGTTGCCAGAAAGTCCAATGTCACGTGCCATTGTAGGTAGACTGACGATGAGAATCCCTCCAAGCATTGAGCCGATGAGGGATTCGAGCGAGACAGTGCCGATTATGACAGCTGCTTGCCATTTGGAGATGGTGTGAGCATTGGTGTTGGTGAGAGACTCCGAGGAGTCGTTCAAGGCCTCGGGCAAAAGATCCGTCTTCTTGTGCTTGAGGCTGCTTTGATACGAGGCAACAGGAAGACCGACGACTTCCAACTCAATGGGTCGAAGCTCTTCTGCTGATATCTCGATGCTGGTGGTTCGAGACATGTTGGAGGACGTAGAACGTAGATGTGATTGATTGACTTCGAATACCGTATTAGGGCGTAGAGTGGGAATGCGACAGCTCAACAAAGGGGCGCTGAGAATTGTTACAGAAACATTCAGGTTGCCAATGGCTTCATATATGCATTTCGGCATTCGCGATGGAACACAAAGGGGAAAAAAGAGTCACATCTGAGATGGGTTGGTCAGCTCGCTGCATCTTGACTCACTGAAGTCTGTGCGACGAACTGCCTTCCAATTTTGGTCTGGAGTCGAGAACCGGAACGGTCTTGATTGCCACGAATCTGAAGGATCTCCGAGATGGAAAGCAATCTTTAGTGCCACACTGGGGCAGACAAGACACAGACTCGGCTGGACCCGATTCTCGGCTAGGCATGTTACTAAGCATGCCTATCTGAACGACATCCGTTCTTACTCAGAACCACCACATACATCACTGCGCATGAGCAAAGCAGCAACAAGACTCTGGAGTGACATAACTGGGACACTCAGTATGCCTTCTCACAGTATCACCATGCTTCAACATACCTGCGAGGCAATGCATCAGCCATGAGCTATGAATTCCAGGACATTGGGGACACATCACAATCATCACTGGTACATGGAGGAACGGAGATTGGGCTTTATGCTTCATTTTTTTCGCAGGTGGAACCACAAACTATCACTATGAGGGTATCGTGAGAAGGAAAAGGTGCTGTAGAAAGGTTTACGTGCGTTGATGAGAACAGACCAGACAATGGGAAATATGAGGGACGCTTCGCCAACTGATCCCACCACTTCGTACGGGAAAGTTCCGTGGGGGCCAGGCCGTCACAAAACTCAAACAAGACAAAGTATGCAAGACAGTTGATGAAGCAGGTCAACTTGCGGCGGAGACAAGGGTGGCGCCGATGGGCTCCCCAACAGGTCGTTGTCCATCCTCTTCATCCTCCGAATCCTCTTCTTGGGACTCTCCATCGGGATCATCTCCGATCTCTTCGTCATCTTCCTCGTCGAGATCAGAGGCCTCGAGATCTTCGTCGTCGTTCTCTGCAGCTTCAAACTCGTCCTCTATCATAGCTCTGCCGTCAACCCAGCTGGCAATTTGGTTCATGATTGCACCAGGGCTACGTCCGGTCAAGAGACGACTCCTTGTGATTCTTTTCCCTGTCCATGATTCCTTTCCATTCGATGCCTTCTTATCCTTGTTGCTACCAGCTGCATCGTCTTCCGAATCCTCTGGCTCTGCAACGGCACTTGCTTTTCGGGCTCTCACAAAAACCCTCTTGCCGACAAAGCGTTGATCGTATTGTCTCGCGATATTTTGCCAATCAGTCGCCTCCAGGCCACGCTTGAGTCGTCTAATGGCGTTCTTCACGAGGGTAAGCACATAGATTTTTTCCTTGTGCGTCCAGTGTTGCCGTATAGTCGGAAACTCCGGCAGGCCATCCGTATTATAGTAGAGCTTGCGATCGAGGATCTGTCGTCGCCACAGGTTCAATTTGGTCACCTGATCCTTGTTGCTCCAGTCCAACGTCTTGCGTCTGATGTATGAGAAGACCCATGTGTTGCCATTGACATCGAACAAGGACAACTTCTGTTCTTCGGGGTCCACGTTGTCGCCCAACTTGTACTTGAATGTGTAGTCGATGCCTATGTTGTCGAGCCAGCTGAATTTGGTTCCTGCGGGACATACACCACTGTGCTTTTTGGGGTCCTATTCAGATGATCAGCGTGTGCTTTTCTGAACTGAGTGAGCTTAGATGGGATACTTACGTTCACATCGTAGTCTTTCTGGACACTTGTTCTACCCGAACCTTCTGCGGTGGGTGCCACGGTATTGTCATCTGGGACAACAGCCTTTCCTGAGATTCTGCGCTTCTTTGCTGGTGGTCCAGCTGGTGGTGCAGTCGATGATGCGGTAGGTGAGGGAGTTTGCGCGCTGGAAGGGTAATTCGTCGGGTTGTAATCTCTGTGCGTAGTTGCGTTCTTCTCAGCACTTGGAGTTGGTACAACTGGGAGACGGCTGCGCCTACGATCACCGCGTGGGTACCATGGACCGCCGTAAGGGCCTTGCTGTTGGTTGTTCATTGCGAGGATGGAGTTTTTTTGGATTGATAATTACGGTGCAAGATCTGAGGGTTGCGAGAGTTGCTTGAAGATTTGGAGAAGAGAGCTGCGATATAGAGCTGTGGTGGAGCTACTATTGGCCGCGCTAGTGGCTCGCTTGGGTGGGTTCCCACGAAGATGTCAACACAACGCCACCTCCACGAACTTCAAGACTCAATTTCCGTACGCGCACATTCGATCTTCGATTCCAACGTTTACACAGCACTCAGCTCAGAAGATCACGGTTGTCCCAGCCTACGAATACACATACAAACCTCACTTGTCCGTCACATCATTCAGTCTCTTCGACCACACACAGCTCACCTTCCTTCGTCAAAGTTTTCGAACCTGTCGGTCATTCTTCGCGTGTCTCAGACACTCAATCTTCAAGTACCTCAGTCTCTCGGTCATTCTCCTGTCTACGAAACCCTCCTCTCATCAAACACTATGGTACGTACAGAGATCTGCTACAATCCTATGCTCTTGTGATTTTATGGACTTTCTAACATCATTCAGGCTCAAGAGCAATGTTTGTCGTCGGGCTGGACATACGACGAGACCATCAAGCTCTGGGAATTAGTGGAGGAGAGATTGAAAATCACCCGGGCCCGCCTCAACTTGGCGGATTTCCAGGTGATCAAGGACGAGATGGACTCTCACTTCGCCCTGACAAAGGTCCAAGTCGGGGACCTTATGTGGCCGCGGGCGGTGGGGGGTGTCACCCCTTCATTCGCATACTCCAGCGTCCGCCGGGCTTTCCCGGAGAGAACTGCGAATGCTTTGCATTCGTACATTACCAAGAAGGACTCGCCTCGGGCCGCCGACTACGAGGCTTACTGCAAGACCTACGTCGTTTAGGGGGAGAAGGGGGAGAACGAGATTGCTTTTTGGGAGGAGTGATTGTTCCTGGTCCACAGGACAATCAAGCAAATATGTCGGACTAGGCCAATGGGCAGCACAATGCAATCAGGCGCGGTTGTCACTCAAAACTTATGATATTGTACCTCGCTTCGTGAATACGTGATACCGGCATATGTTTGGGAAACCTAATTGCTAGAATCCCAACAACTTGGACTAAGTAAAGCCATAAGAGCACAATCATATCTGCAGAGTTGTCACGGTACGAGGCAACGTCAGGACTATTACCCGTTGAAGATTTAGGTTGTACGCAGAAGGAAGAGTTCTTTAGGAAGCTCTTCTGATATTACATTGTGTGCACGTTATAATGAGGGTCCACGGCTGAATCATGCTTTTCAGCTTTCTCACGTCGATCCCTCAGAAGCGTTATTACATGATATTGTCCTTCGCTTCGTAGGCACTTGATATAAGTGGGGCTCAGGAAGGTCGGATTAACAAAATCCTGTTAATTTGATTTCAAGCTCCTTTTTTGATTTGTCCCTCACTTCGTAGATAATTAAAACGGGGATATATGGAGGAAAGTCAAATTACTGAAAGTCTTGCTGATTTATATTGAGCAAAATCAGTGGGAGCACAATCACAGGTTCACAGTTCTCACTTGATATTATCTCTCGCTTTGTAAACACTTGTCGCAAGGATATGTTGGGAAAGTAGGAGTGCTGGAACTCAATTAATTCAAACCAAGTAAACCGAAAGAGGGCATTCAGATCTTCGTAGGTTCTACAAAACAGTGATTTTGCCTCACTGTATAATCACTTCGTACAAACATATGTTAGGAAAGTCAATTCACTCATGTCTTGCTAATCAGCGCTCTGGTTTGTCCTCTCCAAGCGCCCTTCATTTTGTAGTGACTCGATACATGTATTTGTGAAGAAAGTAGGATTACCGCAAATCTCTTGACTTAATCCTCAACTCCGTCCTCTCCAGCTGCCCTCCACTTTCCGTATGCTTAATACAAGGATATGCTGAGAAAGTCAGATAACTGAGATTCTACCAACATAGCCCTTGCATTGCTTCCTCCAGATCCCGAAGCTTAGACAGCCTTGCTCTTGGGTGTCGTATATCCTGCGACATACTTCTTGCAAAGCCTGTCATAGATCGCAAATCCGATTTTATGATCCGGATTCGTAGCGTAAGTTCGAACCGTATGAGCAGATCTCTGAGGGTATGCCCTATCTTCAGGTGCGGACTCGCCGGTTGCCAGTTTATCGCCAGCAATGACGCCTCCTTGCTGTCGGAAATGGAGGTTCATTGCATCTGCGATGGCAATCCACTCCGAATTGGACAGCTTGCGCCTCAACTGCTTCATATAGGTTTCGATCTGATCGAAGAGGTAGTCTATTTCGTTTTGAGTCCAACGGAACATGGAGATGTGCTTGGGCTTCTTCGTAACGGGTGCAGTGGATGTGGCAGGAGCTACTGGCGCAGTGCTAATTGCTGAAGAGGTAGGATTCGCAGAAGCTCTGGCTCGGGGCTGCTTTCTTGTGCTCGAGGGACCGGTACGGTTGCGACCACTGTTGGACTTTCTCTTCATCTCTTCAATGTCTTCGTATTCCGAGTCCTCCTCATCCGTATCCTCATTGTAGTCAAGGCGAGAGCGCTTTCGACTGTCTGGTATAAATACCGCTGCTATGGAATGGTCCCCGTTGTAAAGGATTGTCTTCGAGGAGCCCTACAATGCGATTAGCAAGAGGTCTATGTGGAAAGACGCATGGTACTTACATGTAATTGTCCGCCCGAACTCGTAGCAACAGATTCATCGGATTCGATAACAGCACTTGGCCACAGAAACACCCTGCCTTTGGTCCAGGTGCTGACGTTGAGTGGCCGTGGTAGTGGTGATTGAGGCGCAATATCTCCATCATTGCTGACAGGAGTTGCACTTGATTGGGAAGACATCTTCTTGTCTTTTCCGGAAGAATTGTGTCTCTGGAAGTAAACTTGTTGAGAGTTGTTTTAATTTAGAAGATGAAATTTTGTGGTTCAGGGAAGAATGAAGTCCACGATTTCGCAAAAGCTATGATTAGATAGTTCGCGTATTACTCGATTACGGTCACACATCGAAGCTAAGCTCCGTCTTCTACGGAGAACAGTATATTTATGGGCTGAATACAGACTGCTGAAGTTTGGATTCATCTGGTAGACTTTGCTTTCATTATTCAACACATGGTTCTTGCTACTTTACACGGAGACAAACACTGCCAAGACCCTCCTGCCTAATTATCCTCATCATCTTGCCATTCTCCGTCCTCGCCAGAACCAGTATCATCAACGAGGGGAGTCTTTCCTGCCCACGTACCCTTGCCCCCTGCAATGTTCGTGCCAGTAAATCTCTTACCACCTCCTGTGAGGTACTTGTGGCAGAGCTCATTGTACAACGGGCCCTTGGTGTTCTTCTTGGTGGCGTAGCTATGGACCGCATTGGCATTTCGGACCGGATATGCTCGATTGTTCTCGGCGAACTTTCCATATGTTGAGAGCTTGTCTCCAGCGCGTACTCTTTGGCCCTGGAAATGCTTGTTCATCTCATCGGTAATTTCGACCCAATCCTCCTTTTGCAACAACCTCCTGTGCTTGCACAGCTTTTCTTCGATAATCTCCATCAGGAATTCCAACTCCGAGAGCGTCCAATGTGTGATCGGCTTCCGGGTCTTCCCCTTTCTTGTCGACGGTAGAGGCGTCTTCCCCGCAAATTGCACTGGGGCTTGATCCGGCTGCTTCGGGACAACTTGAATAGCACTGGCCTCTTCGGCTGGAGTTAACTTCTTCACAGTGTAAGCAAATGACCATAACTGCAATATCGGGCTTGTGCAAACTTACAGGGGCTTTCTCTGATCGCGGAACATAATATATTCCGCTCATGACCTGTGGCATGTGAGCAGTTGTACCGTACGAGGAAATATTGTGCCATACCAGCAGCTTAGCACCATCGTTGCCTCCAGACCCAATGTTACCCTCATTCAGGCTTTGAGATTCTCTTCCGGACGACATGATGTGAGGAGGACGAAGTACAAGAAACGCTGGGTGTGGGTGGGTTGTATTTTGAATTTTTGCCCCAGAGACGACTGGTACGAGACTTAAAGAGGTGTAGACAGAGGTGACGGGTTTCTCAGCGCGTGCAGTGATCTATTGTCGATTTATTCGATTATGAAGTGGAACGAGACTTTGAAGAGGTGTGGAAAGACGTATCGACTTTCGGAGCGCGTGTAGTGATCTCTTGTTGATTTATTCTGAGAAGAGTGGTACGCGACTTCGAAGAGGTGTGGAGAGAGTTGTCGAGTTTCTTTCTAGGCGCGTGAACAAGCTTCCAACTAATTTGTTTGGCCGCGAGACGATGAGTACGAGATTGTAAACAAGTGAGGAAGGGAGAAAAATGAGTTTCTGGTCGAGTGTACAAGTTCGGTAACGAGTTCTTTGATTGAGAGACGATGTGTGCGAGACTTCGAAGAGGTAGGGAAAGTGGAAAGACGAGTTTCTAGTCGCGCGTAATAATGCTGTGTTTACGGCTGGGATTTAGGCCCCAACATAGCGTACAAGAGGCCAATATAGCGGGTATAGCGGGGCTTTTGTACAATTCTGGCCAAAACCTAATTATTTGAGGCTTTGTACTTTTGTGTTTGCGGCTTTAGGGTATTAAATTTGCGACTTGGTGGCAATGCATATTCGAAGAGCTGTGAGCTCTAGACTAATTAGAGAGCAAGATTCTATTTTGCTATAATTATATGAGTGGAGATGTATAGTCCCAAGTCCCAGCCTTCGGTATAGCTTAGCTCCAAGCTTTCAGGCTTCATGTTGATAGCACTTTCATTTCCTGCCTTCTTGTCCCTCTCTTTACTCACCCTTTCCTTACTCTCTCTCCCTACTATTCCTTTCCCTACTGTTACTGTCACTGTCCCTGGCCACCCTACCCTAGCCCCCACCGCCATGACTTTTACAACCTCCCTAAGCTTGTCCCTCTAGATCTCTCAAGGTATCGCAACGTTTCAAAACCTCGTACTAAGGGGCCCGAGGGCTGGGGACAAAGCCAGGGTCGCGTTTAAAGTCCTGGCCGTGGGCACAGCTCTGAAGGCAGCCAAGGACAGGGCTAGGGCTAGGGAG